CGGGTCATCTGCGTTACGGGAGACGTTACTGATGGTGTTTCCGAAGAATCTGCAAAAAGGTTATGTAGTGATAAGCATTTTGAGTATTTATTTTTCGACATTTTGAATAATAATAATAATAATAATAATAATAAAATTATAGTAATTAAATCACCTTCAAGTACCGTAAATTTAGGACTCCAACTAACGCCACCTTTATCAGGTTTACTAGGATCCGAAAACATCAAGAAATAAAATTTTCCAGGGGGGTAACCCAATTCTTTAACAGATGGTACGTTAAAATTGAATTGAGAATCAGTGATTGGAAGGTTTTCGACGATTGTGAGTAACGGAATTGGTTGCGTTTCTTGACCTGTCATGAATTGAACTTTGATTCCTGACATTGAAGAGGTTGGTGGTTTTCCGTCATCAATAAATTTTACAGTTATCTATTATATGATATAGATTAAATGAGAATATAGGATACGCGTGTATATTTGGAATTAAGAGAAATTAACAATACCTGATCACCACATTTTAATACAGAATCACTTGTTGGGAAAGTGACAGATGGAAGTTGGAAAGAAGGAATGATTCCAATAGCGAGTATTAATAAATAACATAGGTATATCTTGAATAACATCTTTTCGAATAGTTTTCTTAGTTGGCGCTATTAGGTAAGGAATGATTATCTTCTTATTTGCGAAGTAAAGTTTAGCGCGGGTATGAGCGCTTTTATGAAAGAAGATTTTTCAGTCTATGAAAAAACTTCATAAATTTCGCTTAAAAGGTAAACTTTTAGGCAATAGCTTTCAATTCTTTCGATCCTTTCATCTAACTGCCAAACTAGCTTTTATTTTACAACAAAATTTCAGACAAATGTTACGAATTTACCAAATAAGTTATAGCTTAATCCAAACTAGCTTTTATTTTACAACAAAATTTCAGACAAATGTTACGAATTTACCAAATAAGTTATAGCTTAATCGTTGTTGTAATGATTGTTTTTATTATTATATAGTTTTTATGATCAATTAAAGAAAACTAATAAATGATTTACCTATTCCATTCTTTCTGTGCAATTGAATATATGAATACATAATACATTACAGTTTATTGCTAATCTAAACATGCTGTTTTTCAATTAAGTACTTTTTGTACTGTATTAACATCATTCAATCGCAACTTTCAATAGAGGCTTACCCCTAGTTTCACTATGTTTATGAATACGTCATATATATATGCGCAAGAACTTACGGCGCATATATTGAAAAATTTTAGAATCTCATTACAATGCAATATACGTATGTA